ACACACACACACACGCGCACACACACACATACACGCACACACACACACGCACACACATACACACACACGCACATACACACTAGCGTTTCACTGGCCAAAGCAGACCAGACCCACCCCAGAGAATCTTACATAGGTTCACATATCTGCATATCCCTGTATGCACGTTATATGTATATATGTGTGTATCACTCACCAGAAACTTTGGCCTCTGAAAAATTTCTCATTTCCAATTCTCCTAAGTAAATGGAGGCCAGCCATGATTCTGACTTTAGTCCTTACTGCAATTCTTCATTGGCTTTCACAAGAATGAGTAATGTCCTTAATGGTGCTGGTTATTTACCTATAGTTTTTCAGCTACGTGCTGCCTACCCTTTCACTCTGTTCCGTAATGCTGGGGACTGGAAATCTGAAAACTGTTTCCCAAGCTCCTTTGCCAATTACTTTCCTGCAAATAGGAGGCGCTAGAGGAAATCAGTGGGTTGCAGGAGAGAAAAGGGTGCTGTGTTGCTGCCTCTCACTCTCTCTCCCCATCTACTCCCTCCCTTTTCTTTTTCTGACAGTGGCTCTGGAAGAAGCTTCAGTTCCTCCTGCAAAGCTCAGCTCTGGAGTGGCAGTTCTCCTCTACTCTCCTAAGTGACGGTACCATCACCTCCTCCCTTCTGTGACCCTCGACACAGGAGTAGCAGCTGCTTTCTAAAGTTACTAATCTGTGGTTTATCTCATTTTTCCCTCTTCTTGCCTTCCAACATATTTCATGTATTAAATTCACTGTTTAAAATATCTAGTGTGCTTTTTGCTTTCCTCGCTAATATTGAAATATTTCCAAAATTGGTAGAAACTCACTGCTTGAATCTATTTCTATTAAGAATCAACGAAACGGAATACTTTATTAGGCTGATTTGAAAATGGGCCGATGCCTACCTATTTAGGCTAATAGGCTTTCCTGCATGTTGATGGGGATTCAAATAAAGGGCATTTTATTTCTTCTTGTTCTTTTCCAAAACTACAGGATTGTTATTCAGAAATGCTTTGCTGAGTACCTCAGTTTACCTTGTCATCCTTAAAGGAAAAAAATTTGATTCTTTTGCATATTTACCTCTTAATTCTATCTCATTTGCTTTTATTTCCACACGAGCCCAACTTCCATTTTCAGCATTTTTCCTTGACCTTCGTCTGATCCATCAGGTAATTTCGCTCCTCTTTCCTTTTGCATTTGTGCCTGATGAATCATATCTCCACCTGTCTCCAGTGCAGCATGCTGTTTTTCATTTGTAACAGCCTCTCATGCTCAGAGCTCGTATTACCAGAAATTTCTCACAGGAGTCCTTATCCACATGTTTCTTAAAACTGAAAACAGTCTCACTGTGTACCAGGAATACTTTAGTCTTTTTGCTATTGCCCTCAGTGACAATACTGCAATGTCATCCTTTACCTTTTCGGGTGAGTTTTATTCATTTCATCTATCAGTGATATGATCTGGCTCTGTGAGAGTCACGGGAGTAGCACAGCTGCTACTCCTGTGTCTAGTGTCACAAAACGGAGGAGGTGATGGTACCGTCACTTAGGAGAGTAGAGGAGAACTGCCACTCCAGAGCTGAGCTTTGGAGGAGGGACTGAAGCCATTGTCAGAAAAAGAAAAGGGCAGGGATTGAGGGGGAGAGAAAGTGAGAGAGCCCAAATCTCTGTAATCCCCATATGTCAAGGAAGGGAGGTGAATGAATCACGGGGGCAGTTTCCCCCATGCTGTTCTCCTGATAGCAAGTTCTCACGAGTTCTGACGGTTTTAAAAGTGGCACTTTTTTTCCTGAACTCTCATTCTTCCCTCCTGCCGCCTTGTGAAGAAGGTGCCTGTTTCCCCTTCACTTTCTGCCATGATTGTAGGTTTCCTGAGGCCTCCCCAGCCATGTGGAACTGTGAGTCAATTAAACCTCTTTCCTCTGTAAATTATCCAGTCTCAGGTATTTCTTTATAGCAATGTGAAAATGGACTAAAACCATCGGTTTCTGAATACAAATGTCTTTTTACTTCATGTACCTGGAATTTTTTTCACTGTCAGGTTTTTAAACTGTTAAAACTCTTGGGTGTAATTGTGTCTGTTTTGGCAATGAGTCAGATGAAAGCTATTTCTTCAAAGAAGTGATTAAAAATCTTGGTGTGTAACCGCTTCAGTTCAGGCCCCAGAGAAACAAAGAAGCATAGCCAACATGGCATCCTGTTTGGCATCTGGTTTCTTTTCACAAAAGATATTGCATTCAATGGGTCCTTAAATTTGGGGCTCTCAACTTAGCAACAGAATGCCAACAAAACTTGATCAACTAAATATTGTGAGTAAGCCTTAAGTGCTACCTTATTCGATTAAAGCTTGAGACTGCTCCATCTGTATACCCTTTTAAATCAATTTGAGGGACGTGGACAGTGTATGAGTTAATTCATGAGGACTTTTTCAAACCAAAATGTCCACTACCACAAGTGTGAATTGAGGATGTCATAGCTAACACTTACATTGTGCTGATTGTATGCTCAGGTTCATTCTAAACACTTTAAATATGTTAACTTATTTGATCCTCCCAGAAATGCTATATGGGAGGGATTTGTATCACCTTCATTCTTCAGATGAAGAAAGGCACAGAGAGGATACATAACCTACCCTAGGTAACACGGTAGTACATGGTAGACTGGGGGTTTTACTCCAGGCACTTTGACTCCAGGGTCCCTATTTATAACCTCTACACCAAACTGTCTCTCAAACCTTCTCATCCACATCCTGACTCAGAATATGTACCAATTGTATGGAGTTACCCAGGTTCTCCTGCTAAGGTACTTTGTGCCCTGGTGATATTCTTCTTATAGCAACAGCAGGTTAACCTGTGGTTTATCTATTTTCCCTTTTCTTGCCTTCCAACCTATTTCCCGTATTCAATTCCCTGTTTAAAATACCCAGTGTGCTTTTTGCTTTCCTGTAAATTCACGCTGCAGTCTATTTCTATTAAGGATCAATGAAATGGAATATTTTATAAGGCTGATTTGAAAATGGACCACAAATGGTCCATATGAAAGCTCCCCTTTATAGGGAGTAGGCTATACTCTGTGTCAGAGGATTATGCCAGGCGCTTTTACGTTTATATAATCTCATCTAATCTTCCCAACAATACTAAGACTTGATTATGATATTTCCAGTAGCCAGATACCAAAGGGAGGCTAACTGAAGTTAAGTAACCTACACAGGATGAAACAGCTAGTCAGTGGAAGAAGCAGAATTCAAACCCAGGCCCATGACACTGGAGCCTGTGCTCTTAACCGTTTGATAAGATGGCCTTCCCTCTGCTCTTCTTCCAACAGCTCTGGTCACACTGCCCCCACCAAGTCTCCACCCTGACGCTTCTGTTCCTCCAGCACAGCTGCCTAAAAAGGACCCTCAAGAACCCCTTCTCTGATTACAGGCAGAGCTTCCTGAGCCCAGATTTCAGTCCTGGCTCTGAAACTCTGTGTGCAACTGAGGAGCTCACTTAAATTATTGAGTCTCTATGTCCTTTTCTGCAAAATGGGAATGAACATCAGCTATTTCACAGAATCACTGAAGGAATTAAAAGTTAATGCACATGAATATGTCAAGTGCTTCAATATTTTTAGTTATGATAATAATAATGGAATTTTCAGCACCATCAAAACAAAATAAGATAGACTGTCTGAGTTTTAGGATGCTATGAGGCATAATTATTTTCTTCCAGAGCAACTGTATCAATACTTTGGGAGGCTATATCTTAGAGCCCAATGGAGGAAGATTCTAATTAATGCTTTCTCTCACTTTTGAATAGTCTTGTAAAATTTTGATGCTCGTCTCCAAAGCTGGGATTGCTTTCAGATATGCCACTTGTTGAGCCACAATTTCAGGAAAGAGCTATACCTCAGAAGCATAGTTACTTAAAGAATTTCAAAAGACTACGTTTTCAAGACAATCTAGTGAATGGTAAAAACAGGTTTTTTTAATGAGGAAGAAAAATCGTTTATCAGAACTATTTGTAGGAGAGGAAATAACAGTCGTTGTGACTAGAAAGGCCTATAATTAATATACCTACTGGAAAATACATGTCCAAAAATATTGGAATAAAAAAGAATTATGACTATTTTTCATCAGTAACTTACTGCAAATACACAATCCAATTCACAATAAATTACAGAGTCATATGTATACGCACTTAATTTGCCAAACCACTCATAAAGTTTAATGAAGTTAAGTCCCAGTAGGCAGATTTATTACTATTCATTTAATATGAATGAAGCAAATAAAAAGTGTTTAACAACAAACATGATGCATTTGCCATTAGAACATGCTCACTAATTGTAAAATACTCACTTTGCTTAATTCTTTCTTTTATGATCAAATTAGGCCAAACCCAAGTCCATTTGTTTTATGGTACCCACTCAGCTATGCATCGTTTCTGACACTTCCTTTATTTTGAATCTGCCCTAAATCTTGTGATCTGCCTGGCATATTCAGGCTCATATCTAGCCAAGGAATTAATCAAAAGTTGGTGTTTTCTGGCATCACCAGTTTTAATTGCTTGGACTTGGGTTAGTTGAAAGGCACAAGGCCAGTAAAACTTGCCAGGGGGAAAAAAAAAAAAAGTACAATAAATATAGCACTTACTGCTTTGAGGTCTTCATTAACATGAGTATCATTCATTATAAAGTCTGGATAGCCAACTTTTGCCAAAACAGCTCTCGCCTATAAAAAGGAAAAAGAAAAATAATGTCAGAGTTTCAGCACTTAAATCATTAATAATCACAAGATGTAGAAATGTGCCCTTCATCTGAAAACTCCATTTACTGAATATCTACTATATGCAAGCCACTGTGAAAGGCAAAAGTAGATAGATATATACTGAAAGACCTCGGTATACTAAAAATGTAGTGAATGTAGCAAATAACTGTCTAGTACAATGTAAACAAAATAAAAATTTTAATAGAAATAGACAATATTGTTATCAAAGTCCAGAGCAGAGACTGTTTCTGCATGGAGAAAATGCTTAATGGAGAAGGTGACTGAATCGAGTCTTAGAGAATGGTTAGGATTTCAAAATGTAGAGCTAGAAGAACATTCCAAGAGAAGAAACAGGGGCAAAGATGGAGGCAAAAATATGTACAAACCATACATCTGATAAAGGGTTAATATCCAAAATATATTTAAAACTCAACTCAATATCAATAAAGCAAATAACCTGGTTAAAAAATGGGGAAAGGAGGTCGGGCACAGTGGTTCATGCCTGTAATCCCAGAGCTTTGGGAGGCTGAGGCAGGAGGATTGCTTGGGGCCAGGAATTCAAGACCAACCTGGGCAACGCAGTGGGACCCTGTCTCTACAAAAATAAAAAATAAAAAAAAGCCGGGCATGGTGGCACCTGCCTATAGTTCCAATTAGTTGGGAGGTTGAGGCAGGAGGATCACTTGAGCCTGGGAGGTAGAGGCTGCAGTGAGCTATGATCACATTACTGCACTCCAGCCTGGGTAAGAGAACAAGAACCTGTCTCAAAATAAATAAATAAGTTAAGTAATTAAAAAGGGAAAATAAAATGAAAATACATTTCTCAAAAGAAGACATACAAATGGTCAACATATTTTTTTAATGATCCACATCATTATTCATCAGGGAAATAAAAATTAAAAACACAATGAGATATTACCTATCACCAGTTAGAATGGCAATTATCAACAACACAAGAGATAATAAGTGTTAGCAAGGGTGTGGAGAAAAGGCAACTCTTGAGCACTGTTGATGGCAATATAATTTGATACAGTCACTATGAAAAACACTATGGAAGCCAGGCGCGGTGGCTCACGCCTGTAATCCCAGCACTTTGGGAGGCCAAGGCGGGCAGATCACAAGGTCAGGAGATCGAGACCATCCTGGCTAACACGGTGAAACCCCGTCTCTACTAAAAATACAAAAAAAAAAAACAGATTACCCGGGCATGGTGGCGAGCACCTGTTGTCCCAGCTACTCAGGAGACTGAGGCAGGAGAATGCCGTGAACCCAGGAGGCGGAGCTTGCAGTGAGCCGAGATCACGCCACTGCACTCCAGCCTGGGCGACAGAGTGAGACTCTGTCTCAAAAAATAAAAAAAAAAAAAAAAAAAAAAAAAAAAAAAAGAGAGAGAATGAAGAAACACTTAAAAATATATCTACCATACGAAGCAGTAATCCTACTTCTGGGGATATAGCCAAAGGAAATGAAATCAGTACGCTAAAGAGATATCAGCGCCTCAATGTTCACTGAAGCACTATTCAAAATAGCCAAGATATGGAATTAGCCTAAATGTCTATCGACAGAGGAATGGATTAAAAATGTAGTATATATACACAATGGAATACTATTCAGCTTTAAAAAAGAAGAAAATCCTGTCACTTGTGACAACGTGGATGAACCTGTAGGACTTCATGCTAAGTGAAATAAGCTAGGCACCGAAAGGCAAATACTGCATGATCTCATTCATGTGGAATTTTAAACAGTCAGACTCATAGGGGACAGTATAGTAGGATGGTGGTTACCAGGGGTGGAGGAATGGGTTAGGGAGTTGGTCAAAAGATACAAAATTTCAGTTAGATAAGAGGAATAAGTTTAGGAGATGTATTGTACAACATAGTGACTATAGTTAATAACAATGTATTGTACACTTGAAAATGGCTAAGGGAGTAGATTTTAAATGTTATCACAAAAATGATAAATATATGAGGTGATGGATATGTTAATTTATCCATTCTCTAATGTATACATGTATTAAAACATCATGTTGTACATCATATATATATATAATTTTGTCAGTATATATATGTAGTCAGCTTAAATACATAAAAATGAAAAAAACTATGAGGAGATAGCAAACACACACGATAATGGCATATTGAAGAGAGGGTGAGTAATTTAATGTAGCAGGACTATAAGTACATGAGGATGGAGAGCAGAAAATAAGGCAGGAAAATTGGCCTGGGGTCAGATCACAGGGATTCCTGAGTGCCATGTTAACAAGCCTAAATTTTATTTTACAGCTAAGAGAGAGCTAAATATGTTTAGCATGGGAATAAAAGGAGATGAGTCATGCTTCAGGAAGATTATCTTTGCAACATTGTGAAAGATGGCCAGGATGCCAGGAAGATTGGAGGCAGTGGTCTAGAATAATTTAAGATACATCATAATGTCGTAACCATCATTTAGATAGACAAAGGTACTAATGATCCTCTGTGTTTTATAACAGATAGGGTATAAATAAAGGAAAAACAAACTTAGGCACATATGAAGAACCTCAAGAGCAGAGATTTGCAAAATATGGTCCCTGGGCCAAATCCAGCTACCCTACCCCTGTTTTTATAAATAAAGTTTTATTGGAACATAGCCACACTCATTTGTTTACCTGTCATCTATGGCTGCTTCTGCAGTACAGTTGTAGAGTTGAATAATTGGGTCAGACACCCTGTGGCCCACAAAGCCTCAAATATTTTATCTGGCCCTTTCTAGAAAAAGTTCGTCAACCCTTGCTTTAGAGAAACTTCACAGTTCCATGTGAAAAATTTCTCTCCCTTCCCCAGATTCTGGGTTTCATAAAAGCAAAAGACAAGCTTACAAGTACACTGTCAGGGCTCTGACCAGATTCCGTGGGATCCCTTTTATAACTTCTGTGCCTCCCTCCAGCATCTGTTTTTCTTTTCTAATGGCCAACACCTGAGACTTTTTGAAGGCCTGCCCTAGGAGCTACTAGAGCTCCTTGCTTGCAATCAAAAACAGCTAGTTCCTGAGAGTTTATTTGCCTTCTACCCACCCTGCCTGCACCTGCACCTGCACCTGCACCTGCACCTGCACCTGCACCTGCACCTGCACCTGCACCTCCGCCTCCGCCTCCGCCTCCGCCTCCGCCTCCGCCTCCGCCTCCGCCTCCGCCTCCGCCTCCGCCCAAGCTGCCCTAAGCAGCAATATGAAAGCACAGCCCCCTTGCCTCAATTCAGGACAAACTCTGAGGTATACTTTGTACTTCCAAAGTTCCCTGCAGGATCAGACTAGTTCTGAGATGTCTCCTGAAATTGGACTCTCACCCCTCCCTGTCTTGCTTCTCCCATTACCTTACTGATTTCTCTTGGGAGTATTTGTTTAGTAAATCACTTAAACAGGAATTCTCATCTCCAGATCTGCCTCCAGATGACCTAATGTAAGACCTAGGCAAACACAAACACATTGGTTTTATTCCAGCAAAGCCGCAAAGCAAAACTAGTGACCTTTGGACGCTGCTCTTGGCAACGAGTTCTTTCCTTTAGTCCCTTTCAATTTTCCTCACTCAAGAAATAAACAGAATAAGATAGTACAGTTGCCTTATCTTCCTTGAAATAATTCAAATACTAAATATCAGCAGAATCCTGAAACTCAAGACTTAGGATTTTACAAGGGCTGTAGGACATAGTCATAATGGGTTTTGCTGTTTCAGAGACTCAAGTATAGCACAGATCAAATTATACCTTCAAAACCCTGTGAGTTACACACACCAAAAGCTTGATGTGACCCAGATAGCAGATAACTAGAGGTTACAGCTCTACCCCCAACACCAAACTAGTTCGTATGTCTACAGGTTACCTCATTCTGAGATTATTCTATTATTTCCTGCATTGTATTTAACTTTGCACTATATTTTATCAGCTCACTATAAGTCATATGCATAACTATAGCAAGAATTCCAGACAGTTTGAGAGAGAGAGAGAAGAAAAGAAAGAAAAAGAAAGAAAGAAAGAGAGAGAGAGAGAAAGAAAGAGAGAGAGAGAGAAAGAAGGAAAGAAAGAGAACGAGCAAATGAACAAGCTGAGTCATTCACAATTGTTTTCTGAAGACTGGTCTTTCCAGAGCATGCTGGTGAATTATGCATTGTTTTTTAAACCTCATCTCTGGGACCCCCCACTGCACCACAGAGCCTCACAGAATATATCACCTTCTGCACCATCTATGCAGGTTATTGAATCCTTTTTTATTATTTATGTAGCATCACCATAACTTGAAGAGAATCAGAACAATCAGAACAGATATAAAGAATCCCTATTTACCTCCCAAAGATACATACCTAGAATAAGGTAATAATACTAGTAGCAACATTGCCAACATCTGACTTGAGTGTTCTTCTTCCTAAAATGTGCTATATATGTATACCTCTATTCAGACTCAAATGTTTTTTTCTGCCACAGACTTCGTTGTCAACTTCTCCTCATCCTACATTTTTCCCTGAGAAGCTTCAGAACTACATCTTGCAATATCCCATGGCTCCAGGTTAGACTGCCAACGAGAAGCACTCATAGGCAATTCCAGAGGTAGAAGAGGAGATGCCATTCATTTGCTGTTGGTAGCCATATACAGACATGTGGGCATCTGCAGACAGCAGATACAGCCCTTTTCCAGAAACTTCCAGGCATTCTCCTTAGAAAGACCTCTTTGGTGTATAAGCAGCAGAGATCATTGGCAGACTCTGCCCTTCACTCCCCAGCCCTCGGAGTGGCTGCCTAAGCCTCCAATTCCCTATATTAAATGTCTTGCTGGTTGATATACTTAGAAGAGTGTCTGTTTTCCTGAATGAACCCTAAGTAAGGCAAATAGTAATCACATCGCTTTTTAATTTTTCAGAATGGGAGAAGAGAAGCACCAATAGTTTGATGGCTTGAAGGGCAAAGTATTAGTGAGTCAGGTCTGAGATTAATTACCCT